TTACCGAACTTTCTAATTTCCGAAAATTCTTAGCTTTATTAACAAGTGCTTTTTTATATGATTAAATCATTCTCCTAATGATTATGGTCACTAAGAGATGGCATGCTTTATACCTAGGTTATAAGTTCTTTTGAAACGATCAACACTTATTTGTAGATAAATTAATCCCATCTGAGAATCAAACTCGGCACCGGATCATTAATCACAATGTAAGCAGTAATCCGGACTACGCAAACACGCCGGTGGTTGTGCACTAACGCAAAACCAATTACACGCTTTAGATCAATTAATTAACGCGTATTACACGGGCGGCGTATTCGCGAAGCGGATCCGGCTCGAAGGACCAAGCGTTCTATTTGTTGTGCTTAGTTATTAACCTTGATTGGATTTAGAATCTCAGAAAATAAAATATAATCAATCATTGTACGTACCTAATTGTAATTTTTAATATTTTTTTAAAGAGGAAAGTTGTTTTTGTTTGTGACGAATAAACTCAAAAACTACTGGAATATTTTCAATAGTTCTTTCACCATTACAATTATACATGATCCCTACCATTACAATTATACATGATCCCTGAGTTACATAGGTGTACAAAAGCTGCTAAATTATAAAGACGCTAATGGAAAAATATCTCAAAATATTTTAACAAAATCGTCTAAATAACACAAAGGCCCTGAGAAACCATTAGTTACATAATCTATTTTTCATTTATGCATCATCCCTTACGCTCAAGAACACTCGGCAAAGGGACGAGTGTCCCCGAATATGATGTTTTGCACGACCCTTGGGCATACCTTTAAGATATAAATCATACCCTCACTCATTTGACTTTCAACTCTAAGCCAACGAGTTAATAGTTCATTTCAGCTAAATTATGAGTCCGGCTTTTGCATAATTATAGTGATTTGGGACATTAAAATATGGTGGTTTATTTTCAACGGTGTTATGAACAGAGCTTAGTCCTTTTGTGTTAAATTGAAAATAAGGCGAATTTCATAATTCCGTGCCATGTGGCTAAACTTGAGCTTAGATAAGTCATAAGTTAGATTTCTTGGTTGGACACGATAGTGATTAATTTAGCACTGACTCAGAAGCGTTAGATCTATACAGTGTGTCCGACCAGTTAGGGCGCAGTAATGTGATAAATTTTATCGTCAAATCCACTGGAATATAACATTTTATCCCTACTATTAAAAATTACAGCTATTTTAATTTGTTTAGTTACTGAGTCCGGGTGGATTCATTTATTGAGCAAAATCTACCGATGTACAGAACCTATAAGTAAAAAAGTATTGAATTAAAATAGTTGTAATTTTTTAACAGTAGAGATAAAATGTTTTATTCCAGTGGATTTGTCGATAAAATTGATCATATTACTGCGCCTTAACGAATCGGACACTACTGATGACCGGACACACTGTATAGTAAAAAAATAAATGTGAATGTTCTACAACTTTTTTGTTTCAAAGTGGCACCTTTATTATTTCTTGTGGTTTTTTTAAATTCTAAATTGATTGAATGAGACAATGTATAATTTGAAAAAGCTTTAATCTGTATACAGTATAACATTTACTTATGCGGCAATTTTCAATTGGCGCTAAATTAACATAATACTATTTAACAAGAAACTGAAATATAAATAACACAATTTAAAAGTAGCACTGCCCTCATCTCGCATCTAAGATTGCGTGTGACAGAGCAAGCGCGCTACAAAATCAACATCTTGTATAGCGTTATCTCTTTCTATAGTCGCCATCTTTACTTTCGGGTAAGTTACGTGCTAGAATTTTGCACATTAAAAATAATTTTAAAACTTTTTGAAAATGTTTTCCAAATAAATACAACTTAAAAACATTAGCCATAGGTACCAATGTAGTGTGATATGATTATTCGTGACTGAAATTATATTTGTATACGTAAAACAATTTATAGCAAAATATTGACAGCCATAGTTGGAAGTGGTATATATACAGGGTAGCTGAACAACAGCGTCCAAAATAAAATATTGAATGCATTCGATTTATTCTAAAAATTATTAAAAAGTTTGTTTCTTTTCATCACATGATGTCAACGTCAATTAATGAAAGATACAAAAAATCGTTAGCCAAAGGAGTGTTTATATTTATAACAGTAACCGAAAAGTTAAAAGTCAACAGAAAGTGGAAATAAATAAAAACAAAAGTGTGAAAAATAATAAACATTACATTTGAACGTCATAGTTTAAGCCACCCTGTATAAATTGGAAGATTTCTTAATAACATAGGTACGTAATGATTTAACATCACGCAATGAGGGCTATCGTTTTAGCGCTCACCAGTTAGCGCCACTGTAGAGTAAGGTCCTGTCACTTGCTAGTAGCGAAGACAGTAGCACCAACTGGTGAGCGCTAAAGTGGTAGGAGGACTATCGCATTTGCACTCATCAAGATGGCGCCACTGTAGAGTAAGGTCCTGTCAATCGCCAGGGGTGCCAACTGTTAAGTATAAAAACGATAGCCCTCATTAGCTGAAAAAATGTGATGCATAAAAGGGGTGTATTTATAAATGTTATACGACACATTTTTATGTAAGCCTTGTAAAGACTAGGGAACTTTATGACATTAAACCGTTGCCAATTGACCTGCAATATGCCGCGTATTTTATTATAAGGTAGCCTTTCGAACTAAGCGTCACAGACGCAGCGTCTTTAGCTTTGGTCTTAAAGGTAGCCTTTGGAAGCGAGTTAGTGACTCGGCGTTGGTGGCACAAGACCAAAGCTAAAGACGCTGCGTATGCGACGCTTAGTTCAAAAGGCTACCTTTACATTTCGGTGACACTGTGATTGAGTAACATAATATCATTCTTCATGATTATTAAGCAAAAAAAGCTTTAGAAACTAAAGGTCTAGCGTTTAGCCAGAGTAAATACAAATGAGTAGGTCATCTTCATAGAAACGCACGGGCGCGGTTTGTATGTGAGCGCGCCAATACGTATGCGGCGCGCACGCACACAGTGACAAAATTTAGCGAGGATTGGAGCCAGTCGTGGTTGCCCCGATTTTTGTCAGTGTGTGCGTGCGCGCCGCATACGTATTGGCGCGCTCACATACAAACCGCGCTCGGTGCGTTTTTATGAAGATGACCTACTCATTTGTATTTCCTCTGGTTTAGCTCAGTCAGTGCCTGAGGATTGGAGCGGCACGGGAGGGCATGACTTATTATGACGTGACAGAGCATTCAAATCTGAAGTCTTGCTGACGTTTGACCGTCACAAAATCACCCTCCTATAGCTCAGGCACTAAGATAAGCTAGACATTTAGCAACACTGTAAATTATAACGGCTCCCAATCAAAAACTTAAATGAAATTTTAATAAAAAGAAAAACACCCTGTGTTCATGTTCAAATTTCATTAATAAATAAAACACCTGTTCTAACAAGGTTTTATACGATACTTAACTAAGAAATAAATACTGATCACAATTTTGACTTCGAAAAGGATAAATATACAAACTAGCCAATAATAAAACAAAGAGCAGATAATTATATTGTCTACATTTTTGATCACAGATTAAAAAATTTTGCTCTCGTCTATGCCTGTCTCAATTTTTTGCGACAGTGCACACTGGGCGACAAATCGCGGTGACAGACGCGCGTCATTTCATAATTATTAGCTTGTCGCGACTTGTCGCAGAATCGCGACAACAGCAAATATACATACAGAGTGGAAACGATAAGTGATCTCACTCGATTTAATTTCTAAACTATACAAGATTCCAAAAAACTAGTTACTGATCCTAAAAGTGCTTCACGAGCTCTTCCAGACGATACAAAAAAAATTGGTTACAAAATAAACAGGATCTGTCCGAAAATTCAATGTTTCAAGCTTCGTTCGTTTCCACCCTGTATACCGAGATTTGTCGCCCAGTGTGTGATGTCGCTTAAGGCATATTATTTGCACATGTTTTGCAAGCAAATACAGCTTTCTTTTAAACATGGTAGTATTTTTCACATATTAAAAAATGTATTGCCAATTAGTATCAAAATATCTAACCTATTTTGATCTGTGTTCCCGTGGAATAGAGTTAATTTTACATCATCCGACACATTTCATTGATATTTATAAAAACCTAGTGACAGTGAATGCGTCTTGAGATCTTCTTATAAATAAATAGTTGATTATAAAAATATAGTTTATACAATTTATAGTGAACCTTTATGTTTCTTAAATATGCCATTTTAGCAAAAATAGCCCGTATTGTTACGGACACAAGGTTTGATATTGTGACATCTTATAAAGATCTTACTTTTATGAGTAGGTACAGATTATTGTAGTGTAAAAAGTTCATTTATTTAAATTCTAGCGCTTTTTTTTAACTCAGTCAGTGCTCGAGGTATGTATATTTTTATCCACAACGAGGAAGCTCTAGGCCTGTATCTCACCTGATGGTAAGTGACGATCAGGCCGAAGGTGGAAGCGAGCCTCACCCGGAATCCTCAACCACGGAGGAACTGGCTATCTTACCTCTAACTGACGGAACACAACAATGCTGTTAACGTTGTTGTTATGGCGACAGACTTAGGTAAGATGGTGGTAGCTAGCCAGGCGGACTTGGAACAAGCCCTACCACCAACCAAAGCGAACAGAAAATTTTGCCCCCACTGGGAATCGAACCCGGGACCTCTGCGTCTGAAGCAGGTGGTCTAACCACTAGACCACAGAGGCGGCATACCAAATCTGAAAGATGTCTGAATTCTGGTTGACGTTAGACGTCTCATAAACATCCTCTCATGCCGCTCCCATACGTCAAGCACTGACTCAGTTAACGGCTAAAGCCCGGTCTGTGAGCACGTAGAATCCCGTCCAATGACCCCAAGCTACCCATCCTTATCGCTCGCGCGTAATTATGTTGCTGTCGCGACTGTGCGACGGGCGCCCGCAGTGAGTGTGCGAGCGCGACAGCAACATAATTACGTGCGAGCGACAAGGATGGGCAGCTTGGGGCCATTGGACGGGATTCTACGTGCTCACGGACCAGGCTTTAGTCCTATAATTCATATTCACCCTACATAATAATATTTTATTTACACTCCATTCGCGTGAAGGCATTCATGCCCAAGCTAATTTCATCAAAGACATCTAGATCGTATTCCCATCGGCGTTGAGTTCATTTTGTGGTTAATGAATCGCTCATACACCATTCCCGTCGATGCCATCTTCATCCTTATTCGTATTGACACAAGGTTCATTGTTGTAGTTGCACTGCATCGCTTGTTCCAGTATCCGTTCTAAATTAGGCTGTATATCGCCTAAGTGCTATATTTTAGTAAAGGATCGCTTATAAACTTATTTCCTTCGACATAGGGTTCATGTCTAAGCTACCTTCATCCTTATTCCTATCTACACATAGTTCATTGTTGTAGTGAATGACTCCCTTATACACCATTCCCGTGAATCCCGGTCATATCCAAGCTATCCTCATCCTTATTCCTATTGACACAAGCTTCATTGTTGTATTTGCACTGCATGGCTTGTTCCAGTATCCGTTCTCACTTGGGCTGTATCGCGCGTATTCACAAACATTACTATGAGGTCTCATAGTGCGCGTGGACCAATCACAGAGCTCTATTCAAGCAGTGCGTTCGATTGGCTGCTTCACATAAGCAAGCATTGTTTGTGAAAACGGGCGTATGTCTCTGTGGTGCTCTTATTTAATAAAGGATCGACTTAGGTCGTATTTCCTTCGACATAGGGTTAATAATTGTAGCTTATACACCATTGCCATGTATACCGGTCATATCCAAGCTATCTTCATCCGAGACATCTAGATCCGTATTCCTATCGACACAAGGTTCATTGTTGTAGTTGCACTGCATCGCTTGCTCAAGTATCCGTTCTAATTTGGGCTGTATGTCGCCTAAGTGAGCCCTTTGGGAAGGCTCGGGGTGCCAACAGGCCTCCATGACCTCCCAGCACTCGTCGGAGAAGTGAGGCAGGCGTTCTGGACGGAGGCCTGTATAAACAAAGGTATACAAATTACTAATAGTCCTGTTAACCCCTCGTGATCAGCTAAAAGATGGTCCAAAAAAACCCAGAAACAAACTGGGTCTCAACATTTCACCCCACCGAAAGTTCAATGTCATAATCAATGGGGTAAAGAAGTTATAGACTGACAAAGTTTGTATGAAAAAATCATGAGGTGCTTGAAATTTTTAAGTTTTATCAAAACACAATAATAATAGTAGAAGTGATTAGTTACTGACAACTGCTTATTCATTATTTTCTATGAAAAAATAAGTTACACAAACTTTTTTTTTTACTTAATTGTATTTAATTAAGTCGAGGGCCTTGTCCCGTCATTAAAATTTGGGTTGAGTGATTCAAATGACCAATATTTCTTTATCTTTCATAATAATGTCAGATAACAATACCTCTTTTGACCTTGCTCCAAAGCTGCTCCTTATTCTGGAACATCTCAAATGCCGAAGGTAGCTTGATGTTACCAGCGCACACGTACCTGAAAATAAACAAACAATAAATAAAATAGCAAATTGACAAGAGTTTGTTAAGTCATCGTCACCAGCATAAGAAAAGACAAATAAGAAATATAACCGAAAAAAAAATACAAAATAAAAAAATAAAATAAAATAAATAAAAAAATATTCGCTGCAATTTTAGGGTTACAAATTAGGTGTGGACTTCCTCTATTAAGTACATAAGCACCTGTGTCAGAGGCAAATAAATAAAACTAAAAAAAAATATAAAGCTTGTAAAATATTCCTATTTCAACATAAAAAAAACTAATACATAATACAAAAATAAATGTTTCCGCCCGGGATCGAACCGGGGGCCTTCTGCGTGTTAGGCAGATGTGATAACCGCTACACCACGGAAACTTGATAGCTAGTGACGAAAATATCGGTCGTTACCTTTATTATACAATTTTGATTACGTGAAATGTGAAAGGAAGTCAACTGGCGATTTGAAGATTAGATAAGCAGGTCCGATATGAATATACCATCGCCCGTATTTACAAACATTACTATCAGGTCTCACAGAGCGCGTGGACGCACAGGGTCACACACGAACCAATGACAGAGCTCTATTCAACGCTGTGCGTTAAGATTTGCTGCTTCACTTAAGTAAGCATAGTTTGTAAGTCATTTTAATGACATTTATTATTTATCCATGGCGTATTTTATCAACCTGCTATTCCTATTATTGGAACAGGTGTCGTCTTCTGTCCTGTAACTCCTGTTAATTCAGACAGCTGCACTTTAGCTGCTTTGAATGCGACTGTCTCACCACACCGGACGACTTCAGTTACTCTGTGCCTTGTGGGGCAAGTGTCCTATCACAGCACCTGATGGGACATTTGTGCCATAAGAGGCTCACCAGAACAGCACCCCGAAGGCGTTGATCCCCATCCTGATGACATCAGCTGTGTAGTCTACTAGAAGAAATCAGAACAGCACCTCTGACGTCAGCTGTTCTGTAACCTACAGTAGAGGTGGTGCGTATTTACGCGACCAGGTTTTAAAACCAGGTTTCAACTTCCAAGTGCGTAAACCAGGTTCCAGCCCCAAATACTCGCAACACCTTCAAGGCTTTTTACTTACGACGCCAGGACGCACTCAGTTCGTCTCGGCCCCGTATGAAGATAAATACGTCCCAATACTAGACTTATTTCTTTACAATAAGGAATACAATCGCTTGGAAACCTTTAGTTTTTTTTTTTCAAAAAAAATTTAAACCCAAGCCTAGTAGTTTTAGAGATCAATATTCAACAAAATACTTTCAAAGTATTTTACTTTATCCCCGCGACTCCACCGACCGACCGGGACTAGCTAGTGCATTATTATGACTATGAACTAATGACCCGCGCAAAGTGAATTGCTTACAAGTTGCATTTGCTTTATTCACGCGCTTATTTCTTGACAAGTAGAGTTTATTGTCGCGCGTTTTTGTAAACGAAACGAATAATCCACAAATCATAACGTTTTTAAGGTATTTGGTTGTTTACTTGCGATTGTGTTCCTTATTTTATAGAGTATAGCGTCCATTTCCAAACGATTAAAAAAATATTTGAAAGTATGTAAATACCTGGTATTTGGCTCTGGTTTTTATACTTTAAGGTACAAGGGCGCCTTGGTCCTCGATTTAGCAAGTACTACCCATGCCTAACCTACAGGGCAAGTGTCTCCCCATTACAGCGCCCTGATGATCACGCTAGTCTATCACTCACCTGAACAACATGCCGAAAGCAGCAGTTATTCTGTCGTCTTTAGGCTGCTCTGTGCACTGAGTGCCCGAGCAACTGCACTCAGGAGGATTTGATGAGTGCTGCTGACAACGCCACTCTTCTGGCGGAGTTATGGGCTGACACTGTGTAGGTTTGTTGTCGACACGAAAAAAAGAAGAAGCGCTCTGATTACGCTAACTGTTCTACAGTCTACTTCAAGTACTCACCAGAACAACACCCCGAAGGCGTAGACATCCACAGCCGCGTCATATCCCCCAGCCAGCAGTTCAGGCGCCATGTGTACTGGTGTTCCCACCACCGACCCCGACATCAGAGCCTCGGCCGCGCAGAAGCCCAGGTCTGACAGCGAGGCGCGGTTCGACTCGTCTAGGAGGACGAGACTGCTGCGTAACAGTTGTTAGAGGCAAGTGTCTTAACACAACAGCAGCTTAAAGGCAGCAGCTGTTCTGTGCCCTGCGAGGCAAGTGACTTACCAGAAAAGCACCCTAGTGACGTCAGCTCACAGGCAAGTGTCTTACCAGAGCAGCGCCCAAAGACAGTAGCTGTTCTGTGCCCTGCGGGGCAAGTGTCTTACTAGAAGAGCAACTTCTTTATGATCTGTAGGTCAAGTGTCTGACCAAAACAGCACCCTAGTAGCGTTAACTGCTGTGGCGTATGCAGCAAGTATCAAGATAGAAGAGCACACTAAAGGCAGTGGTTCCTCTTTCATTTTTACGCTGCTCTGTACCCTGCGGGGCAAGTGTCTCGCCAGCACATCATCTGAAAGAGTCGTCAATCGCTCTGTGATCTGTACTGTAGGTCAAGTGTCATACGAAAACAGCACCTGAAGCTGTGCTCTCTGAGGTATGTGACTCCTCACAGCACCTGCTAACGTCAGCAGCTTTATAAGACTTACCAGAACAGCACCCCGAAGGCGTAGACATCAACAGCCGCATCATATCCCCCAGCCAGCAGTTCAGGCGCCATGTGTACTGGTGTTCCCACAACCGACCCTGACATCAGAGCCTCGGCCGCGCAGAAGCCCAGGTCTGACAGCGAGGCTCTGTTAGACTCGTCTAGGAGGACGAGACTGCTGCGTAACAGTTGTTAGAGGCAAGTATCTTAACACAACAGCAGCTTAAAGGCAGCAGCTGCTCTGTCGTCTATGCAGCAAGTGTCTTTCAGCACATCATCTTGAAGACAGCAGCCGTTCTGTGCCCTGCAGGGCAAGTGTCTTACTAAAACAGCAACTTCTCTACGATCTGTAGAGCAAGTGTCTGACCAAAACAGCACCCTAGTGGCGTTAACTGCTGTGGCGTATGCAGCAAGTGTCTTAACAGAAGAGCACACTAAAGGCAGTGGTTCCTCTTTCATCTTTACGCTGCTCTGTACCCTGCGGGGCAAGTGACTCACCAGCACATCATCTGAAAGAGTCATCAATCGCTCTGTGGTCTGTACTGTAGGTCAAGTGTCTCACCAAAACAGCACCTGAAGCTTGCTCTCTGACCTCTGTACTCTGCAGGGCAAGTGTCTCCCCATCACACCACCCTGATGACATCAATCCTGTAGTCTAATACAAGAACTCACCAGAACAACACCCCGAAGGCGTAGACATCAATAGCAGCATCATATCCTCCAGCCAGCAGTTCAGGCGCCATGTGTACTGGTGTTCCCACCACCGACCCCGACGTCAGAGTCTCGGCCGCGCAGAAGCCCAGGTCTGACAGCGAGGCGCGGTTAGACTTGTAGAGGCAAGTGTCTTACCAGAACAGCAGGTCAAAGGTAGCAGCTGCTCTGTCGTCTATGCAGCAAGTGTCTTTTAGCACATCATCCCGAAGACAACAACTGCGCTGTGCCCTGCGGGGCAAATGACTTACCAGAACAGCAGCTGCTTTGTGATATATGGCAAGTGTCTCAGTAGAACAGCATTCTGGTGACGTCAGCTGCCCTATGCCCTGCGGGTCAAGTGTCGTATCAGAACAGCAGCTAAAGACAGTAGTAGCTCTGTTGTTTCAACGCTGCTCTATGCGTTGAGGAGCAAGTGTCTTTTCAACACAGTACCCTGAAGACTAGTTGATCTGTGGTGGTGTGTCTCACCAGAAGACAGATAAGCAGCTTCTGTCTTTTGTCGTCTGCAAATGTCTACAGCGCCCTGATGACGTCAGCTGTGTAGCACTCATAAGAACAGCACGGCGAAAGCAGCAGTTGCTCTGTCGTCTCTAGGCTGCTCTATGCTCTGCGGGGCAAGTGTCTCACCATCACAACACCTGCTCTATTGTCTACACATAAGGGGCTCACCAGAACAGCACCCCGAAAGCGTAGACATCAACAGCCGCGTCATATCCCCCAGCCAGCAGTTCAGGCGCCATGTGTACTGGTGTGCCCACCACCGACCCCGACATCAGAGCCTCGGCCGCGCAGAAGCCCAGGTCGGACAGCGAGGCGCGGTTCAACTCGTCTAGGAGGACGAGACTGCTGCGTAACTACTGTTAGAAGCAAGTGACTGCAAGTTTCTTACCAGAACAGAAGCTCAAAGGCAGCAGCTGCTTTGTCATCTATGCAGCAAGTGTCTTTCAATACATTATAAAGACAGCAGCTGCCCTGCGCCCTGCGGGGCAAGTGACTTACCAGTACAGCAGCTGCTTGCTTTATGATACATGGCAAGTGTCTCAGCAGAACAGCATTCTGGTGACGTCAGCTGCCGTATGCCCTGCGGGTCAAGTGTCTTATCAGAACAGCAGCTAAAGACAGTAGTAGTTCTGTTGTTTCAACGCTGCTTTATGCATTGAGGAGCAAGTGTCTTGCCAACACAGTACCCTGAATACTAGTTGATCTGTGGTGGTGTGTCTCACCAGAAGACAGATAAGCAGCTTCTGTCTTTTGTCGTCTGCAAATGTCTACAGCGCCCTGATGACGTCAACTGTGTAGCACTCATAAGAACAGCACGGCGAAAGCAGCAGTTGCTCTGTCGTCTCTAGGCTGCTCTATGCTCTGCGGGGCAAGTGTCTCACCATCACAACACCTGCTCTATCATCTATACATAAGGGGCTCACCAGAACAGCACCCCGAAGGCGTAGACATCGACAGCCGCGTCATATCCCCCAGCCAGCAGTTCAGGCGCCATGTGTACTGGTGTTCCCACCACCGACCCCGACATCAGAGCCTCGGCCGCGCAGAAGCCCAGGTCGGACAGCGAGGCGCGGTTCGACTCGTAGAGGCAAGTGTCTTACCAGAACAGCAGTTCAAAGGTAGCAGCTGCTCTGTCGTCTATGCAGCAAGTGTCTTTCAATACATCATGAAGACAGCAGCTGTTCTGTGCCCTGCGGGGCAAGTATCTTACCAGAATTGTAGCCCAAAGACAGCGGCTGCTTTGTAATCTATAGGGCAAGGCAAGTATCTCATCAGAACAGCACCCTGAAGATAGCAACTGCTGTATCATGTATAAGGTAACAGCATCCTGGTGACGTCAGCTGATTTGTGCATTGCGCGGCAATTGCTCGCCTTGATGACGTCAGCTACTCTAGTCTACCACAAGAGACTCACCGGAACAGCACCTTTTCTGTCACCTGTATGCGAGTATCTCACAAGAAGGTATCAGCTGCATTGTCCCCTGTATTTGCTCTATAGTCTACCACCAGCATCTATAAGGGACTCACCAGAACAGCACCCCGAAGGCGTAGACATCAACAGCTGCATCATATCCTCCAGCCAGCAGTTCAGGCGCCATGTGTACTGGTGTTCCCACCACCGACCCTGACAACAGAGCCTCGGCCGCGCAGAAGCCCAGGTCGGACAGCGAGGCTCTGTTAGACTCGTCTAGAAGGACGAGACTGCTGCGTAACTACTGTTAGAAGCAAGTGTCTTACCAGAACAGCAGGTCAAAGGTAGCAGCTGCTTTGTCATCTATGCAGCAAGTGTCTGTCAATACATCATAAAGACAGCAGCTGCTCTGTGCCCTGCGGGGCAAGTGTTTTACCAGAACATCAACTTCTTTACGATCTGTAGGGCAAGTGTCTGACCAAAACAGCACCCTAGTGGCGTTAACTGCTGTGGCGTATGCAGCAAGTATCAAGATAGAAGAGCACAGTAAAAGCAGTGGTTCCTCTTTTATCTTTACGCTGCTCTGTACCCTGCGGGGCAAGTGACTCACCAGCACATCATCTGAAAGAGTCATTAATCGCTCTGTGGTCTGTACTGTAGGTCAAGTGTCACACCAAAACAGCACCTGAAGCTGTGCTCTCTGAGCTATGTGACTCCTCACAGCACCTGCTAACGTTAGCAGCTTTATAAGACTCACCAGAACAGCACCCCGAAGGCGTAGACATCCACAGCCGCGTCATATCCTCCAGCTAGTAATTCAGGCGCCATGTGTACTGGTGTTCCCACAACCGACCCCGACATCAGAGCCTCGGCCGCGCAGAAGCCCAGGTCGGACAGCGAGGCTCTGTTAGACTCGTCTAGAAGGACATTCTTCATCTTGATGTCCCGGTGGACGAGTCCGAAGGAGTGGAGATAACGGATTCCTGAAGTTAGGAGATTATAATTTTAGTATTTGCAAAATAGATATAAATGCTGCTGACACAGCTTCGCTCCCTCTCTCTCTTCAAAGACACGAGATATTTTTGGAATGGAACACCAAGCAAGATATTAAGTTCTCTTTTTTCTGCGTAGCCGTCGGTCCGCCGTTGGTCGTCAATAAAACCCCGGGGAGTGCTGACTGTCTTAGAACCCGCATCAATTTAATCAGAAGTATAATATAGAAGGAGTTCGAAGTAGTCTATGGGAGTTTAATTGTTTGTAGACGTAGGAGACGTTCGTAGTATGTGGATGAGGAATTCGAAGTTTAGGGGAATTACGAAGAACATATAGGGGAAGTTCAAAGTACAAATAGGGGAGTTCCAAGTAAATATTAGAGAGAGTCTGTAGTACAAATACGAGAATTTAAAGTTCGACGTAAATATAGGGGATTTCCAAGTACATACATTATTATTTCGAAATCCATATAGGGAGATTTCGAAGTAGATATACTAGGAGTCCAAAGTACACATAGGCAATTTGGAAAAACATATCGGAGTTCGAATTACGAGTACATACAGTGAAGTTCAAAAATCATAAATAAGTTTTAATAAAACCAAACACCTTCAACAATATCGCAGCTGATCCTCATCCGGCAGGCGAGGCTCAGGCCCGCTCGCACGGCCGAGTGCAGGTCGCGGACCTTCCGCTCGGAGACCAGAAGCACGCTGGGCCCGGCGCCGCTGTGGCGCTGGACCACCGACCCGTACAGGCGGACGATACGCGGGTGTGCCGGGATGCTCCTGGAATTATACGGGAATTATGACCTTCTATGTAAATATGTATCTTTTTATGTAAATAAATATCTTCATCTTCATCTTTGTCTTTATCTATAGGCAATGTAAGTATCAGATGCACGATGCGCGGGTATAGCCTGACCAGGAACATAAAAACCCTCGCCATGTTGCGGAAAACTAATGGTACTAATTTCTTTTAATGGCAACAGTAACTGAAAACTTCATTTACATGTCACCTTGCACGTCAGTCTATTGCTGTCAAAGTGTAAACAAACTTTATTTTAAATGTCCGCAATTGNTCGCTGCTGACGTGCCATTTTGTTATACATTTTGACACATTTTCTGTTGCGAATGTTATATCTATTACTTCCTGTCTGGTTTTTGTTACGAATGTTGGCGTGTGGCCATTGTTCAGCACCTGTAGACAGTTAGATAGAAGAAAATCGGATAGTAACTCACCTCTCATGTTGGTATCCGAGCTTCCCCAGATGGTATGGTGGGCGTTAGCATCGCATCCCACTATCAGTTCCGACTTTTGTCTTCTAGAGTATTCCAGGACGTTAGTCAGTTCTTCAGTGGGATCTTGCTTATCTCCAGGAAGATATGCCGAGCAGAAGAGTACTTTGGACCTGTTCGGCCCTTTGACTTCTACGTACGCGGTGACAGTATCTTCGCTGCAAAGAAATGTTTTTAGGCAACTAGCCTATTTAGCAATAATGTACTACTAAGTAGCTATCAACTAAATGTAGGCAACATTTATTCAATCTAGAAAAAGTTAATTTGCACAAAATATTCTTGTTCTTACATTTTTACTGTATCTTTTGTAGTCTAGTACTCTAGTCTAGTAAGTAGGTATAATTTTTAAATTAAATTCGGACTGCAACACTCATTGATGGCGTACTCTCTAATCTGTGCTCACCATCTGACTGTCACATCTGTCAAGTCAATTCGCGTGGTTACGGAGCCAAATTAAAAATTATTGCAATTTTTAATCATTAATGTTGTAAAATATCAATGGCGAAGCTTCATAGCTATTTCGTGCTGTGTCCTTTAATCGACCAGAAGAGTTTCCTGGGCGTATCTAAGGATAAAGACGCCGAGTTTGTGATCGTTACTTTGGGCCGCAATGTTGTGAATAAATACAGGGTAATTAAACGGATTTTTGATGATATTAAATATTACTAGCAAAGTTAACCAAATTTTAAACTATCTGTTTTTAATATATTGTATCATTATCTGATTCAAACTCGGAACATTTTGGTATATTTTATAGGTTATGTTTTGGTCTTAAAGTTAACCCATTTAAATTAAATTTCCGAGTTAATTGCGCTCTTAGTTCAGAATTGTATGTTTTTTGACGTATTTTAAATATCTGAATCTTACTAACTGGACAAATCATCAGCTTTCAGATCAAAAACAGGTTGGAGGATGGACCTCCAAGGACCACATTACAGCTGCAGTCATCTACGACAAGGATCAGGGAGCGTATGTGGGCGTGTTCAACAAAAACATCATCAAGATTTGGAAAGAGGACTCGGATAATTTGGATAAAGTTAAAAAATATAAGGTGAACCTATTTTACTTATGAAACTTTGATTGTTGATGAGTTCTCTCCTAAAGTTTAACATTAAAAACTGTGTACATATTTATTTTTTCAGTTTCCTCTGAACATTCTCAAACTGGTGCCCAGATATGGGGAACCAGCACTTGTTATATTTGAAAATGGCAACTGTGCTGCTCTTCCTTATGCCCTTGAGAACCGTAAGACATATGAAAGCAAAGGACAAATTAAAGACAGTGAAAGTATTGTCGACGTAGCTACATACTCAGTCAATAATGTTGGGCACGTCTGCTATATCACTAAAGACGGCAAGGATAGACAAGAAATTGTTGTAAGCCCTCTGAGAGAAGAATTGGGTGATATGGAGAAGTCTAAGCTGAGTAAAGTCAAAATCACAAGACCAGATGATGTCTATGTTGTTGGGAAACTTATTAACACAAAAGACAAGCCCACAGTTTATATTCTATGTAAGTATCAATATAGGAAGTAAATGTTGAATAAAAAGTTTCTAATTTATGTTATTGATTTTAATGAACATTAATTGTTTCATTTCAGGGAGTGACTCAAAAATGACAGTTTATGACCTCCTCTCAAAGTCTTGGAAATCAGTAGGATCAGTACCTTGGGTGTCTACCCTGTCTACCGTGTCCCTGGCTTGGATGGGCAAGAACCACCTCATCGCATTCGGCAGCAACACTGACCAAGACGGGGCCATCATCGTAGCTTACAACACTTTGCTTGGTGTCGGATCATGCAGATATCCCATGAAAATGTACACAGAAGATGCCAGGTTATACTGTTTCTATGACAGAATCATCTTAGAGGCCTCTAATCATATTGGCATGCTACCCTATGTGTTGGAAACCAAAAGAAATCTTTCCAGTCTGCTTGGCTCACATGAGATCGTCCAAGATGAATGCACAGAAATAGCAGACTGGGGAACTCCGACCAGACCAATATACACTGCCAGTGACGAAATAAAAGAACTCTTGAAACTTGGAATTACTGAAAGAGCTGTCTGCTCACAAGTGGTACAACCATACTTTGAAAAATGTGACAGTGAGGGTATAAAAAATGTGTTGAAAGAATTCAATGATATTCCAGAGTCAGTTTTAGTCCAGTTACTAAATTATACCTTAAAATTAGCTCACTACACTGATGCATGTGTTGATGATTTTGAAAAATGGTACAATACCTTTTCAGAAAACTCAAAACCTGTAAAAGAACTGTTGGATTATGCATTTGAAATAACTTTCAGTGATGCCCTCTTGATACCCTATCTCAGAGAGTCTTTGAATCTGAATGATACATTATTTCTGATGTCATACATGTCACACTTGCTTATGGATTCTGAGACTGAATTCAATACTGATTATGAAAGTAAGCTGTGTGACTGGTGTATACTTCTTACTGACGCATTTTATCAACAGTTCCTGATGACAAAAGATGAGAAAGTTACAAATGTGCTGTGCCACACTCTGGAAGTAGTGTCAAGTTTGGTGCAACAACTAGACAAAATAGATGAACTGTTGCCTCTTTTGAACAAGTTTGTAACAGGAAGGTTTAAACCACATGAGAATGAAGATTCCTTACCTTATACTATTGAATTGATGCAAATATAACTTCTTTTTACATACAACTGTGTTTTTTTAATCTAATAATTGCCTTTTTATTATTAACTAGCTGACCCGGCGAACTTCGTACCGCCTTAGCGTAGAGATTTTCTTTATATTTTTATCCGTAAAAACCTTGTACAGAGTATTAGAAAACTACAAAAAAAAAATCAGCCAAATCGGTCAAGCCGTTTTCATGTTATGTCGTGACAACGGAAAACGGGTTTCATTTTTATATATATAGATAGTAGAACAGAACTAATTTAAAAACAGTGACTTTAGACGAAATGAAAAACAATAATTAGGAAACAGTCTTTTTATTAGCAGCTCTAGCAAATTGCACAACCATTGGTTTTTCTTTTAGTAAAAATCCATTTGTTTCATGAAGCGCTGTTTCAGCTAAATGCTGAGATGGAAATGTAACAAACGCCTGTCCTTTCATCTTCCCTTCTTGCATTACCCTCACATCGAACCCAACCAACTCTCCTTCACTGAGCCTCTCCACATAGTGCCTGTATATTCTCTTCACATCTTGTTCGGTGACAGACTTAGCCAGATTTTTGATATACAGTCTCATTGATGGCTCACCAGGGTGATAGTTTTTGAAAACAGGCAACATCTTCATATCACTGTGGGATAGTCTATTATCTAACAATTCTTTTCTTGATATACTAGGCTGTTCAGACTCTGATGACGGAGTTTCTTCAGCAGGGGTGGGCAATTCCTCTTTCTGGAATTTCCCAAACTCGCTTACAACTTGCACTTCCTGAGCTTGCTTTTGCAAAGCATCCTGGTGAACTACTAAAGCAATTTTCTTGGGTTCCTGGATGCTGGGGGCATTCTCAAATACCTCCTGTTGGTTCACAGGTACTCTCTTCACTTTGGGCAGCTTGGCAGTGGATATTATAGCTGCTGGACGTTTCCGGGTGACAGGAAGAGTGTGTAGCCTTTTCACAGATTTCGGTAAAAGTTGTTTCTCCCTCTCACCATCACTTGACATTTCAGACTCTTCTTCACTATCTGGTGTTGGGATTGCAGCAATTTCGTCAAGAAACAAGTATCTGAACATTTCCTTGAAGCTAAGCACCGCATTTTCATCGACTCGAAATGGTGTATCCAAAGACATTTTGTTCATAAGATGCAATGCTTGGACATAATAAGGTTTGTGGGAGAGCAATGCTTGGATGATGTTAATAATGATGTTTGGGTCTGGATCTGGATACTTATACTTGAGATGCGCAGGCGGAGGTTGGTAAAAGTCTACAGAGGGATTCCAGGCGTTAAGTAGCCTCAGAAATTCCTTTACTTGCTTTGTAGTTGACGAACTTCTTTCGATGTCATTTTTATCGTGTGTTATGGGTTCCTTTTCTAAAGAATATTCCACAACTAACCTCCTTTGTGCTATTTCAAGCTGATGAAGACGTATTAGCGAAGCTTTAGCTGTCTCCACCGAAGGGAAAGAAGCAAACACATAGTTCCGTTTTTTGGTTGTTTCCCACACTTTTTCGGCACCAAAATGCTTTAATAGTTGCTCTTTATCTTGAACTGATAATTCTGTTGGTAAATGTCGAATCATCAACACCTTTGACATGGTGTTTTACAACAGTTACTTTATTTAGTTACAACAAAACCTGAAAGACTGACCGGACTGACCAAAACAAAGATCTTTTGACAATCAGCTGGTTGTTGTCAAAAACACCACTCCAATTAAAACGTTTCGTGTCACGCAAGTGTCACGTAGGTATTGCAATTTTTTAAATCTTCTTCTTCTTCTTTCTGTATTACCTATTTCGTATCATTTATCTTATTTAATTTAATGTGCTGCAGTCACACACTCCTTATCTGTGACTCACATCAAAAAAATAACAGGATGCGCGCGTTCAGAAACGCGCCTGTATGATGAGTTGATGACAGGTTTGACAGATTTTTTTTGACATTCAGTTTGGAAATCTTGACCGGTGTTTACTTTTCCTGTTGTATTGTGATTTTATGATTAGAGTTAATGTAGGCCTTTGCTTATTAGAATACCTTAAATATAAGTGAAACAATGGCAGAGACGCCTTGGAAGAAAGTTGTAAAAGTCGTTGTACTTGGCGACATAGGCAGAAGTCCACGTATGCAGTATCATGCTTTATCTCTCGCAAGTAGCGGACTGAAAGTGATTATGATTGGTTACACTGATACTAAACCACTGCTGGAGATACTAGAAAACCCGGATATTACTATCTCGAAGCTGAACCCAATGATTTTTAATAGAGGGCCAAAATTTCTTCAGTATGCAATGAAAGCATTATGGCAGACTATAAGCTTGCTGCTAACGTTGTTCATTACTGGGCAATGTGACTACTTACTTTGTCAGAATCCTCCTGCCATTCCCACCTTACCAGTTTGTCGGTTTTATTGTCTAGTTACGAGGGCGAAGTTTATAATTGATTGGCACAACTATGCATACTCGATTATGGCTCTGTCCCTGCCTACAGAGCACCCACTGTTGAAATTTTCTAAATTTCTTGAAAGATATTTTGGCCAATCGTCTGATGAAAACCTCTGTGTTACCAATGCAATGAAAGATGATTTGTTGCAGAATTGGAATATAAAGTATGTAATGCAATTGTCTACTAATATCTATCTGTCTGATTAAATAGGCTATTATTGTATAAGTCTGTGTAACTGTTCAATGAATAATCTGTTACTTTCAGTGCCAAGGTGCTGTATGATAGACCACCAAAGATTTTCCATCCAATCTCATTAGAAGAAAAGCATAACTGGTTTATAAAAATTAGCCAGCAGTTCCCTGAATTTGGATCTCAATCTCACCAACAAGGGGAGGGGGGTGTTAGCAGGACAGCATTCACCCAGCTAATTGACAACAGTGTATCGTTGAGGACAGACCGACCTGGCCTATTGTTCAGCAGCACGAGCTGGACTCCAGATGAAGATTTTGGTATACTTATGGATGCTTTACAGGGTAATTTAGTAGAATTTTCTAAATTGCTAAGCACATTAAAATACTTGTTGCAGAATAAACTTACTTTATACCTTTTACAGTTTATGAAACTTCATACAATCTCACCAAGAAATTGCCCAAACTTATCTGTGTTATAACTGGCAAGGGTTCGATGAAGCAACACTACACAGAACTACTGAAATCCAAGGACTGGAAGCATGTACAAGTGGTGACTCCGTGGCTGGAAGCATCCGACTACCCCACAATGGTGGCCAGTGCAGACTTGGGCGTGTGTCTCCATACCAGCTCTTCTGGCCTGGACTTGCCTATGAAGGTTGTGGATATGTTTGGGGCAGGACTCCCTGTGTGTGCTTTTGATTTCAAGTGGTAAGATACAAAACTTATAAAACATTCTATGTTAAAACTCTATCCATATCAATATTCTTGTAATTTCAATAGAACCTTCAATAAATATGAGAAAGAAAAAAACTTTGTAGTAGTGTAGCTTTTACTCTTCTTTCTTTCAGTCTTCATGAACTGGTGCAGAATGGAGTCAATGGGTACACATTCAAGGACAGTGATGAGCTTTCCAAACAAATAGTCAAGTGGTTTCACGGCTTCCCAAAACATGTGCCACAGAACAAAGTTGCAGATGCCATGAGGAATGAACTGAGCAAATTCCAGAACTCTAGATGGGAGGAAAACTGGAATATGAGAGCAAAAAACTTTTTTGAATCATGATAGTGTGTCCATATGATGATGGGACCAATTAAATCTAAGAAAAGTACTGTACAGTAGTACTGTAAATAAATTGACAAGATAATTTATTACTTTAAAATATTTTTATTTGTCTTAAAAATAAATGCAGAACAGATTCCACACAGTAAACAAAATATTTGCTTTACACATTTCCTTACACTAATAGTCTTTCAATTTCTTGTTGAATGCTCTGAATTTGAGGTTTGAGTTGCGAACCTTCGTTGATGGTGATGGAGCACGAAATGATGGGCCGTGACACGCCGCACGCGCGCCCGAGCGCCTGTTTCGACCTCACAAACACATACGGCACATTTTTGTCCTCGCACAGAATAGGGATGTGAAGCACGATTTCTAGCGGCTCCGTGTCAGCCGCCATTATAATGAACTCGGAGAGACCTCTGTTCAAGGTCTTCGTGGCTTCGTTGGCGCCCTTGCGGAGCTGCTTATAGTTAGCGGCCTGCTGCACCAGGTTCAGAATTTTGGCGGTGAGAGCCGCATCCGCCAGCGGGTACGCTTTAGGGTTGACTGCTGCTTCGGTTTCGGCCTGAAACAGAGCAAAAATCGTCAGAAGAAGAACTTGCGGCACAAGTGCACAACACATTTTACACATAACCTAAAAATTCAATGTGGTAATATTTGCACAAAAGTAATATAACATGTAAAGTGAATTCGGTGTGTTTTTTTTTTATAAAAGTGAAATGGAAGCAGGAAATGTAGACAGAATTAAGAAATTGAATTAACAACACGTGATACTAACCATGTTTACTTTTTAGTATTCCGAGTGTTGATACAAATTCAACCTCTCGGCGAAAACTCGCTTCACTGAGGAAACCACACCACAGATGGATCTGTGGAGGAAACTGATGTAAACAGTTTACTAAACGAAAGTTTACGAAAGCCTGGAGAACGAATTTTTACACAGACGCGACGCGAATTCCCTCCACCACATGCGTTGTCGCAAATGTCACTGTCAGATGTCAGATTACTCAGATTCTATCTGTGACAGGTGACTGTCACTGTGGCGTTCACAGTCACAGATAACCTACTGCGTTTTTATTCGATTTAACACGTTTTGTTATGACATATGAATGAATATGGTAAAAAATATTAGAATTTCAAAAAAGTACCAAAAGGCTAGCGTGAAAGACTTGCTCTTGCTGCTACTGCTAACGTTTTATATGCTGCTTTTACAGTTGAATAAGCTGAGTAGACCGACATGGATTACGGCCTTAGGCTGACTCCACACGTACGTAGGTGAATCTAATGAAGGCACAAACGTAATGTTGGGACACAGAGCACGTACTAATAGTTGGGACATCTTCACGTCGACACTTACGGGACAGGAGACTCGAGATCTGACTTGATCGATAGTACCTGAAGTTTTGCCTCTTGTCTGTTCAACTTCGTGTAGGCCACAGAGCAAAGTAATACATTGGGATGTAGGCCTACTTTTCTCTATGGTGTAGGCGCCTCTCCACTCCACCCATCTACCACCTATAGTTATAGGGCTTATAATACCAACCAGCTTATACATTATACGCATTTCATGTCGCCCGCTTGGTTGGCAGAGGCCTTTTTATTATTATATGCAATAAATTGACTTCGCTTTTTAGTTAGTGTGGGACTAAGAATACGTACCTACCCAAAAATTTAAGTAGGGATAGATAATATTGTTATAGCCTTTTCTCAAAGCCAATAAAATAATAGTTGATGGGGTATTATTTATTTTTAACAGGCACTGTATACATGCACATCTATTCAATAAAGAAACAAATTCCATAGTACACAGTCATTATTCTTTAAAATTTCGATATTCATTATGTTTTGTTTATTGTTTACTGTTGTATTCAAAAAACAGAAGTGCCTGTTTCGGCACTAGGCATTAAAACAAAAGAGAGATTTACTACAGTATCATATAAATTGAAATTACATAATGTTCTCCAGATTGTAAATTAAATCTATAAGTAAGTGTCTATAGATATCAAACATATTATGCTACTGAAGGTGACATACTCGTGTACAGACAAATATTCTAGTATATTGACCCCACTGATGCAAAACTCATTTAGAACCAATGAGCAATATCTGTGATACAATTTTTTTCTCCTATTGTTTAGAAAACTTTCTAGGTATTTATGTATAAATAGACTTGATTCATCTAAAAACAGTAAGAGTAAGTTGTTACAGAACAAAGCCTTATTTTTATTACAAAATCTACAAATATTACAACGCCACATCATGTAAATAGTGCAGAGCAAGTTAAATAATTTTTTATATTATGTATGTTAAGAGCGTTGTAGCAAAAAGTTGGCGTTCGAATTTTAGGTTTTTATTGCTTGACGTCGCGTAGTGAGTGCGCAAACTCCATTTATCTGTACAATTTCAACGCTGCGTCGACTAAACGATCTTAATCCGTAGTTGTATCGTACCTAAGACAGTACTCATACATAATAATAAAGAAATAATGTATAATTTACCTATTTGATTTTTTCTCAGATCAGACTTTTAGCAAAATCAAGTTACGTAATTACCTAATGTATTTTTTACACTAGTAAATCCCGCGACAAGTTTTTAATCTTTAAATTGAGTAAAGTAATAAGTTGATGGGTTTGAAAGAATTTATGTTTTATTTTATTCTTTTTACAGCATCAAAAGCTTGTTTATGAAAAATATTTACCATTTCAATTTTACTTTTGACTTTTTAGTTTTTATGATGCGGGATGGAAAATTTAAAATTTATTCTGATTTTGTGACGTTTCCGCACATAAATATGGATAGGTTAAATAAATAGAATGAAATGTAAATTTTCTCGAATTTTGACTATCTTAGACATGATAAAAATGCATTTTAATGAATTAAACATCAAAATTTTCTCAATACACTTTCTTCTTCAGGGTATGCTTATTCTAATGAATACATTCTATCTTCTTTCTTAGAAATAAATTTGTTGTAATATTAGTTCAAAATTGTGCCTTCGCGAGTTACCTGGAAATCGGGCTTTCGAAATTCGCTGTTTTCGTAGGCAAAAATCCAATTTGAACGAGATTTTGTCAATAGACATTCCGTAAAAACGTATGATAATTACGATGATATAAGTCAAAAGAACCTACAACAATAAATTATATGACTAAAATCATTTCGAAATCTGCCAAATTCTCGATTTCTGCATGAAAAATGTGACAACGCTCTTAACAAAGTACTGTCTAGACTTACTCTGAAAACTTTTGAGAATACATTTATATAACAAAACATTTCAATTAAGATTGATGAGTACAGCATTAGATGGAATCAAATATGTATTGCAAATATCAACACTAAAATGAAATATAACTTATCTACATCACCTTCAATTTAGTCATTCCACACATGAAACTGTCTCCTTTTAATTATATACCAGATAGATAATAAAACTGAGTACCTATCTAAGCATCTAATTAGTAATTACAAATTGTATTTCATTTTTGTATAATAGAAAATATAACAGAAGTCTTCTTTCTTATCCCATTATAATACTTAAAATTACCTAAACAAACATAAAATTAACTTTGTCTTTATTTTAGTCACTGACTCCACTTAATACACTTTAGTTTGGTCCACGACGAAGCCTGTATTATGAAGGCTTCACATACTTATACTAGTTAGGTTTTTTGAAAACTGGCCCTTGGTTATTTTGGTTTTGGCTTGACAGGAAGGCCAGGTGGCCTTTAGGACACTTGTTCGCATAGTGACCTTTGGTGCCGCACTTGAAACATGTCACCTCTTCAAGTGGTTTATGCATTGAGCGCTGCAATCTTTGAGCATTCATGTCTTCGTTGTCACCGACTGGCTTAACATAGCCAAGCGCACGGTATCTAGCCTCTTCTTGTCTTTGCGCTGCTTCTCTTTGCTGAAAATGTAATGATTAGAGCATTAACTGTGATGTAATGTAGCCATAAAGATATTTATTTATCTTGTGTTTGAAAATTGTACCACAAAATTGAATTCTTTTGTGTTTATCACAGCATTGGCTTACCTCTATGGGTATTTTGTTGCAAGTGGACGCTTTGTGTCCAACTTCTGAGCAGTAGTGACAAACGGGCAGTCTCTTGGTGTCCTTGGTCTGCTCTGGCGGAGCAGGCAGCTCGAAGCGTGGATGCATGAATTTACAGTTGCGGCCGTCCGGACAGAAGCCGGCCAGGTAGTTCATGCACAGCACACGGCGCACGTGCCGGTGGCGACAGTGAGGACCGTGTCTGCAGAAACCTCGGTCATACCTGGAACATAATATACAAGACCATTAAACTCAAATTCATTACAGCAAGTTTAGTCCAGCAGTGGACGTCTTTCGGCTGAAACGAATGAACGAACGAACGAACAAAGTAAATAATGTAATCAACATGGCTTTAGCAGAATTTAATGGAGATATTGAATGAGTACTATTATCCCTGATCTGGCTATAAACAAAAGAAAAAATAATCAATGAACATACCAAGGACAGTCTTTGATTTTGCTCTCAGGGTCTATGTGAAGAAACGGGCACTCTTTATTGTGGCACGCGTTGAATCTGGCGTAGAAGTAGCACTCGGGCATCTTGGACATGTCATACTCGTGAAGGAACTCGCACTGGTCGCCCTTCTTGCAGAGGCCTCGCAGCCAGTGCTTGCACACCACGGTCCGATCACCGCGCACGTGCCGGTACGGGCACTGCGGTCCGTTGCCGCAGCCGCCCGGCTGACTGAAGAACTCGCATACTGCTGCTGTTGATTCTGAAGTTTGAGTGTTTGATGGTTAGGATAGGTTATAATAAAAATGTTGAATTACAGCTATGGTGTTGGATTATAAATCAGTTTTGGTGTTTGAAGGAAAACTTACTGTCCATTCCAGGGAACGGCAGTGGAAGCGCCCCATACTGTTCTTCCAAAGCGTAGTCGATATCAAACTTGATGTGGTCCACGTTCGCAACTAGCACCTCCATTTTGATCTAAACCCTTACAAATATTATTGTAATGAAAATTCAAAATTACTATTTAATCATGAAAAACAAATTCAATTCAATTATTGGAAAATTAACACAAAAGATAAAGAATGCAAGAAAATTACTGCCGCTCGCTCGCTTTCGCTTGGCAATTTTTTGACAGTTGATTGACTTTGACACTTGACAGCGAGTAACAATTTTCTGTTTCATTTCACGCTTGATGAACAACGTTGAGGTTGGCGCGTATTGCGTCATATTGAGATCGTACGTAGTGTAGTTTCTAATGTGTTTCCCAGCTAAAGTACAATATCCCTTACCCGTAGAGATTTTTGTTTAGAGCAAGTGCAATAGAATGCTACAAACTTACGTATAAGAGAATCATTACCTATAATTATCTGTATTCTGCATCGATTGTCTCGCCAAGTCGCCACAGGCTTTAAAGCATGATGAAAATCGTTGCATGCATCATGGTCTTCTGTTCCATTCTTTCAGAATGGTTTGTGTTTGTGTTTTAAAATGATGATGAGATGAGTTGCAACACTAACAGGCTAAGTTGACCAACTCAATGTACTTCACAGATTACTTATTAGTCTNGGCGAGCGAAAAAACAAAAACAAAAACAACAAAACAAACTCAATGTATCATAGCTGTAACGTTGATTAAAAAACATCTATCTGTCTGCTGTCAGTCAATTGTCAAATATTATTTTGACAAGCAATCTTGTTGTGTTGCATTTTCGAGTGCAAGTCGAGAAATTTTATTAAAATAAATTATTAAAAATCCACTTTACAATGTCCATATCCGATTTAAAACATACTCTTCGAAAGTATGAATTTCCGGCATGTGCCAAAGAAGCGCTCATCCGTATCGGTAACTAAGTAAAAATGCTTTGAAAAGTGTTGGGTTACCACTGATACTGAACCACACTAATACTTATTTATATATTTTAGAGCAACTGTTGGTGGGCCGAGCAGCCCCCTCGCCTAAGCAGATGGACATAGCGATGGATATAATATCGGAGTTTGTGTTCTGCGAGACGGACCGCCGCGGGAGCCGGCGCGGCGCGGGCATCAGTCCCCTGCAAGAGTTGCAGCTCATCGACGTGATCTGCGAGTACCTGTCGGCGTGCGCGAGCGAGACGACCAAGAACACGATATTCCTGTCCTTGTTCGGCGGCATGGAGAGCCAGAGAAGGCTCAAGGTGCTGAGTATCCTGGCCAGTATGGCTGTGTCGGCGTCCAGTACTCCGGTACTATGATTTTTATATTATAGTCTCATTTTGTCAAAATTCATAGACTTTTTAGATTTTCTACTCTTCTGACTACCCAATGCTATGATTTCCAATAAGAATGTAATTAGATAACAAGGATTTTGGTGGAGGCAGAAGTTCTTATGAGAACTCTTAAACATTGTCAATGACATTTTATGTTTATTATCTTATTTATCTATTTATTGTTAAAGATTTACCAACAACATATCATTTTAGATGCATTGTTACATTATTAGAAAGCTAGAATCTAAAAGATATGCCTTTACAGGTAAATACAACATTCAAAGAATTATTATTTAACAAGTTTCAATAGGAAAGGCATTTCATTTTATCATTATTCTAAATAATTCCAGGTGCTGCTAGCGGTTGGTGTGTGGCTGCAACAGATGGGTTGCTCCTCGTCGCAGTCGCTGCAACTTGTAGAGAACATAATCCGCGACCACTTCTTCCTGAACACCTCCAACCGGATGATGCTGAAGTCACTGGCGACCACGGCCCCGCAGTTCGTGTCCAACTTCATCACCGCGGTGACGGAACTGTACATGCACGATATACAGGGCACTAGGAAGATGCCTCCGAGAAATCTGCTGGAAGTTATTACATGCTGGGTGAGCATCCATTTACTTTGGGAATGGATTTAATGAAATTTATTTATTATAATAAAACTGATTAGTGCTGTGTATCACTTAGTCCGAATGTTGTTTGAGTGATTAAGGCATCCCAGCATTAACAGCTAACTAAAGCATCCTTTACTATGTCTAAAGAAAGCCACAACAAACCTGAAATTCACATCTGATTGATCTACATAAATAAACAGCACTCAATAAAATTGTAAGGCTGGGTTGGACCATCTTGCTTTAACTTTGACAACGTCAAAATCTGTCAAATTCCATACAAAAAGCACTGGTTATCGTTATAATTACTATTAAAGTTAGGTGGTGCAACTCAGCCTAAGTAGTAACTATTTCCTAGTTTGTCTTTGTATTGGTACCTATTTAGTGTTACCACAACGTTGTGTTATGTCTGGCGCATAATATCTTACTAGCTAGCTTAATATCGCCCGCGTTTCCGTACGCGTGGACCCCGTTTTACCCCCTTAGGGGTGGAGAATCCTGTCTTAGTATGTTAGGGTCCTAACGAATATTAGTAAAAATGAAAATAATGGACTGTATAAAATAGGTGCTGTAATTCTCGCCAGCCTAATTACAAGAAATAATTGTGAGAGTACGCGGTATTCGTGCGTCGACGGTGGTGTCCAAAGGCGGGTGTGTGTGTGTGAGCCGAGCGCAGCCGATGATGACGCTGTCGGCCCGAGGTGACGTTAGTCATTGTACGCCGCCCGCACGTCTCCTCCCGCGCGTTGTTGGGTTCCCAACATAGTGAGCATCCACGTTATAAAAGGAACTCCCATGCAAAATTTACGACTCCTACCTAGCACTTGTAGTTTCTGAAATTTCGTGATGAGCGAGTCAGTCAATCATGGCTGGTTTACATGTGATAAGTAGTAAAATTTTTACTTGATATTTTTTGTCAAGTTGTTAGGCAGGGTTTGTCACTCGCACGTTTTGACAAGCAGTTTCATATTATACAAGACCTTGACGTTTGGAATTAAGTTAAAATTTAGTTGCCTACTTATTACGTGTAAACCAGCCATAAGTGACCTTTCACTTTTATAATAATCTTATTTCCACGTTTCCAGGTGTACTCCAACCCCACGCTGTGCATGTCGGCGCAGCTAAATCCGGCGGCGCTGCCCGCCGGCGCCATCCCTATGGCCGCCGTCACGCCGCTCGCCGGCCTCGTGCACTGGTGCGCGCTCGCGCCCATATACAGCTCGGAGAATACAGGTATATCCGTTAAACTGCTGTGGAGTATCAGAGTAAATACAAATGAGTAGGTCATCTTCATAGAAACGCACCGAGCGCGGTTTGTATGTGAGCGCGCGCCAATACGTATGCGGCGCGTACGCACACTGACAAAATTCAGCGCATCTCACCGCTATATTTTGTCAGTGTGTGTGTGCGCGCCGCGTACGTATTGGCGCGCTCACATACAAACAAATCGCGCTCGGGCGTTTCTATGAAGATGACCTACTCATTTGTATTTACTCTGGTAGTATGTAGTATACGACCCGGTCAACTGGTCAAGTTAACGTGCACCTGGCTGGAATGCGATTGCCGCTCGAACTTACCCGCGTTCCCCCGTTCGTACCGGAGCGTCGATGTGACGTCACGGCTGCCAGGTGAGCAATTAACTCGACTGGGTTGTAATTACTGCTGGAAATAGGTTAGATGACAAAATTTCAATTATTTGTCCCTCAGATAGATGTGCTACAGTGCTACAACGAGTTGAAATGGCGCGTTACGTCACGCTTGAGTAGACTTTTTACTCAAAAGTGACGTCACAAGACATTCCAATATAATACTGTTATGAAAAAAATTAAAAAATATGTTCCAATTTTTTTTTGTTATCTGTCTGACGGACTAAATAGAATTTCGATTTCATTACCCAGTCATTATCCCTATTGTATTCTTGTTGTACAATGAGTCTTTTTGTGTGTATTCTTTCTCCTTCATAATTTTATTTCCTGTTGCAAGCACCCAAACACCGATTCAAGGAACGGAGCAGTAAGACCATTTGTTTCATGACTTACTGACACTACACAAAACCAAATAATGATAGAGTCTTTTCTTGCAGATGTGGAAATGATGGAAATACAAGTGCCAATGAAGAGAATAAAAATCGAGAATGATCACATTCCCAAACAAGGAGTCCCTCAAAAAACGGTGACTGAATCAGAGTTGTACACAAAACTGCATCTAGGGGTGCTGCACAGTTTGCGGGCCGGCAGACGCACCCACGGGCCTCCCACTGCGGTGAATGCACAAAACTTGGTGGGGCTCACACCACATGTTCAAGCATATGCACATAGTCTACTTAAAAGAGGGGTTAAACTTCAAAATGATGAGAAACTACAGGTAATACCTTTTTTGAACCAGTAATTAGGTATAATTTTTATGATAACTTTTTGACAATAATGAGTTTTGTAATCTACACTTAAAACGTTCACCGCCTTATTAATGAAAAGTTACAACTAGGGTGTAACTTTTATTAATAAGGGGGTCAGTGTAAAACTATTATTATAGCTTTACATTCCACATTTAAACAGTTTTATTTAATTAATCCGTATTTCTCTTGTGTGTACAACTATTACCCTCTATAAATTGGCCGTATTTCTAATGTTTGTTTTGTTTGGTAGGACTGCCTTGACAGGATAGGGCAAGCAGTGCAGGTGGCTCTGGCCAACGGCTGTGTGTACGGCAACATCAGCAACCTCTTGGCTGCCCTGGACACTCTTCCTGAGAACCGTCTGCTCAGGATAATCATCAAAACTCATCAGCAAACTATTTGACAGGCTGTTTTACAGTCTCAGTGATTGAGACTTGTAAATGTATAAACTGGAGCAATATAGGATAAGATTTTTATAAGGTGTATGTGATTTAAATGTTTGATATATGAACTTAAAAAATGTGCTGTTACATGGATTGATTTCTTTAGGAGAAATGTTGTGAACTTAGTTTATGAATAATACTATGAATTGGGATCTTTAGCTAATGTACAGAAAGATTAAGTAATAAATAAAACTGTGATTTAAGCTTAAAACTAATTTTATTTTAGAAAGGTTTAAATCTTCTACTTTGTTTGATCTGTGTTATCTTCTTTTTGTCTTCTTCAAACTTTTGTCGGAGAGCTACAATATGTTTCATTTTGGATTCCCTGATTTGGAAGGTATAGAAGTTTTTCAATTCTTTCCTTTTCTTATTTTTCTCTTCCTTTGCCATTATTTTGTTTTCTACTTTTTCTGAGCGGGCAAAGCTTTGAACTTTGCCCCTTTTGGTGACTGTCACCCAGCCCTCATCATCTTCCTCTTCCAAGGTTTTTTCTTTCTTTTCAGCTTTACGAGCTGCTTCATCGTGTTTCTTCATAAACACCTCAACTTGTTCCTTCAAAGTTTTTGACATAACAACAGAGTTATTGTGTTCTGCTACCCATTTACTCATACCAAGTTTTACTTTATAATCATCGGAATTTAAAGGGCGTAACTCTGTTAACTTTAAGGCTTTATCTAGCTGGGAAACTGTGGCAAATACCAAATATGCTACTTTGAATGTAGACTTTTTTTCATCTTGTATGAATTTATTTGTTTGAGATTTGGCATCCAAATCGTTAGGCTTAGTAGCTATCTGAACTGACCGGAGAGTGCCAGCGTCTTTGAAAGCATTGGTAATGCCTTTCTCATCCACATAAGGAGGCAAGTTAACAACAAACAATGTTCTTCCTGAAGGCTTGTCCGCCGTATGTTCTCTGACTGCATGTTCTTTGATATAGATAGTATGTGGTGACACTGAATCTTCTGTGAGCTTAAGCTCTAATGCTGAAAAGAAAACAACACGATAAAACTCAATGAAAAAGAGAAATAAACGGTCATGTTATGTGACGAATTCAATATCTTAGCGTATGTTACCTTTGAAATCATGCACACGTTTAGTAGCTTTCATGGTTTCTGATAAATTACTATTAAAAACAATTAACACCACGGAATTACAATTCGCATTGCACGTTTTTGAGGTTATTTGTTTTGACCACAGACGAGGAAGGAAATCAGACGAGTTGANACGAGTTGACAGCTACCAGCTGAAAGTTTTGACAGATTGCGGATACCACAGGCTAAAAATTTGGTGATCATAGAAAAAATGACAATTAAAAAACGTATATTCACGTATTCCTTTGCGTGCCAGGTAATAAAAAGCTTATGAATGACATTTGCGAGTTGACTGTTGGCTAAAAACGACTGTTTTGTCCGTATTTTATCGTAATTTTACGGCCATGTGTGGTAATATTTACGTGGTGAACAAAAGTTCTAGTGATGTTATCCACAACTGCAAACAATAAAGTGAAAAATCCCAAGGGTTCGGAGGTCTCCGACGCCCAGGATCGTGACGAAATTGGAAATGAAAACACAACGGATGATAAGGTCAGAGGTTATGTTAGTTCGTATGATCCATCTTCATCGTTCGGAGGGCCGTCCAGGGACAGCAGGTTTCGTGCCCGAGGAAGGGTCAGCGAGTTTCGGCCCTCCCGCGGAGGGGGCCGCGGCGGCGGGCGAGGTCGGGGCGCCTTCCCGCCGCGCGGCGATCGGGATCCCCTTGACAACTCCTACAAGTATAACGAATCGCTAGAGCACACGAACAGCGAGCCCTGGTCACAAGAAAACAGCAACAAGTTTTATGAAAGGTCGGAGCTTGTTCTGAACTTACCTGAGGACCCGCGTATATCGAAGTTGCTCAGACGCCTGTGCGCTGAAGTGGACGTCGAGAAGTCGCTTGTGATATGTAGCAAGCTTCAGGATGCGGTCATGTTGCCAGAAAACGCGCGATACATTCGTAGGGCTTATGATATCCTCGTCGAGTCCCTACTTGATGTTCTGTATGATGCTCCCGGGCCCGAGACCAAGGAGGGAGCGGCGAACGTTCTTGGTAGGATAGGCTACGTGATGGGCCCCGACTTCAGAAAGCACCTGGACTGGTTTACAACCTCATACTCTGTCCACAATACATCCATCAAACATCTTTTGACTCTCTCATTTACAGAGACTTTTCAATTAGATTACCAAAACCCCAACTTGACAGATTTTGCTGAAATGACTTTAGAAAGATTGCAGGGAATAATAGAGGGCACAGACTCTGCAGATGTTTTTATGGCTGCCATAAATGCCATGATAGTGATGTCAAATTCCTATCCAGAACACTTTGCTGCCCACTTCGTTGACACTGTGGACATTTTAGTCGGCTGGCATGTCGATAATGCTCAGCCAAAGAAGATCAAGGACTTTGCACTGCAATCACTGTTGAAATTGAGCCGGCACTGGCAAGCTGATGTAGGGTTTTCAGTGAATTTGCTTTACCAGTTCGTGGAAGATATGGTGGTGTACTCAGGTGACCTAGATGAAAAAAGTGACAAAGAATCTGATCCTAATTCAGTTGAGGATTCTATACAAAAAATTACATCATTTTTGAATGTTTTCAATACTGTGGTCAAGAGTTTGGGGTCTATGCTCAGCCCTACAGTCTCTCAAACAGTGTCTTGGTCCTTCTTGACAGAGGCCTTGACCAAAATTCTGCAAGTAATGACAAAAACACTGAAAGAATTTGCAGATACTGACTTGATTCTATCTGGAAATGAGAGCATAACACTACTACTGAAACCTTTACAAGCTAAATCAGCATCGTGTGCTCAAGCATTGTTTGCTTTGATTTCTATGGAAATGGCAGATCATCTTCAAGGTGATGAGAGTGTCTGCCTCAGCATCATCAACTTAATATCCACAACAATCAAGGAAATTGCATCAAATCTACCTATTGAGTTTATTACACAAACTATAGGACCTGAGTCTTTGCTAAGACCTTTGCGTTATTCCAACAGCTCTCAAATATTGCGTGGTGTATTGTCTGTGTACAGTCACCTCTTAAACTTGAAAAACATTCCACTATTACAAGAAACATATAAGTTTGTATTGATGGATATGCAAAATGCTTACTGTGTAATTATTCCAGATATAGAAATTATACAACCAGATTATACTGAAGAATTAACACTGGACGATGCAGAGAAGAATTTAATATTTTATTTACAATGTTTATCAGAACTTGCAAATGCTAGCAATTCTATTATAGGTATGTGGGCTTTGCAACCGAGTATACTTGAGCTTCTCGCTATCAAGATGTGTCCACATGATGTTGACTTGGTGAAAAAGAAGCCAGCTTTGCAGTATTCGATACTATACCTACTATATTCACACTGCAAGAAGAACAACCATTTTATTGCCTCTAGTGATCTTGTGACAAACACACAACAGAGGGCTGGTGAAATTTTTGGTTTGAATCTTGGGGAAGTATCCAGTTCTAGTCCAACATCTGGACACCTGGCGGTCATCTTGAACACTCTCAGCTTGATACTGGACGAAGAAGTAGCAAAAGAAACCTTGTTGCTTGTTTTGAATTGGATATCAGATATTTTTTGCCAGCTAGATAAATACTTACCAATTGTGAGCATGTCCAAAGGGTTCTTGGTTCTCATAACCAACATGTTAACATGGGCATATAGTTTTGATGACGATATTGTGTTGCTTGTAATTAAAAACTGCCAGCTTTTACTCAAAAATAAGACTCTAACATGGAATATAATGATTTTAAAATCAATCACCACATTATGTCTTCTACATATTGACAATCAAAATAAAATGTTGTCCAATGTATGTAAGGAGGTCCTGTTTGAACTCCCATGGGATATTGTACAATTGGAAATGGACAAATTGATGGTGAAGGTGTTTGCCTGCCGAAAAGTAAACCTCACCATACTTAATAGTGACTCAAAAATGAATTCCTTCAAGGAGTACCTCATGAGGGGTTCTTTTTCTACATTATCAAACCAACATTTTATGTCTATAATAAACTGTCTACTGCAAGTAACCTATGAAGACAAAAGCTTTCTGCTTAATGCCTTTTTATTGTCATGGCCCTTGCAAAGCCAGGATGTTGAAGAAAATAACCTACTGTTTTTTCGACAGTGTGCTACTAACTTTTCCTCTATCTGCATAGGATGGGCTCTGTCAGAGTTAGCACAAACTTGTGTGTCCCAAAAACTCAGAACTGCATTGGGAAAACCTCAAGAGACCTTCATGAAGATCGAAGGTGTGTTAAAAGGAATAGCAATAGAGATTTCATCACACGACACAAAGTATACTGCTACAGATCAACATAAGTTGATAGATGTCGTGATGGCAGAACAGATAAGGACACGGTGGATCACTGAGTTCATGATGTTCCTGGAGAAATATATTTATAATGCGGCTGAAGGGACAGCTTCGGTGCTTCCCGCGGTGGGAAAGCCTGTGAGGACATTCTTTCACACAAACTGGTCGACATGCCGCGAGTGGCTGAACAGGGTGCGGCCCGCGGGGCTCGCCGTGAGCCTGTACGCCGGGAACATCGGCGCCGCCATCTATCACGCCTTGCTCATTCTGCAAACAGCTGCGAATACCAAGACAAATATTGACATCGAAGCTATAACCATAAGTATCGCCAGAGGACTTATAAAAATCGAGGAGCCTGAGGTTTTGCACGGCCTCTATGTATGGATCAACCAAACGTTTAATAAAAAACTGCCTTGGCTAAAAGCTGCTGCAGAACAAGCTAATTCTAGGCATGAATTAGCTTTAGACTACTATAAAAAGTTAAGCAATGCTCAGTCACAAGACGAAAATAAAGAAGAAGGCACCAGTCCTGCAGTTGACTCCAGAAGTGCTAAGTTCATCGAGGAACAGATAAAAGAAAGCTATAAACAAATTCAAAGCTGGGAAGAGATGCAAGAATGGAAAAATGGTGATAATCAGAATCAACAAATGTCCCAGTGGAACATTTACTCAGCACTAAAATTATTCGAGGAAGGTAGTGAATTTCCTAATGCGCTTTCTAATTGGGATATTTTAGATGTTGATACAAATGAGATAACAAAGAATTCCTGCTCTTACCAAGGGATTTTGAACAAAATTGAATCAACTTTGTTATGCACAGCAGTAAACATTTACTACAATGATTATTCTGAAAAATTTGAGAATGTGTTGAAGGATTGTGAAAAGCTACTCAACTCAAGCGTTGAAGAATTTGCTAGAACGAATGCCGTACATTATATGAAAGAAATAGCCGTGCTACAACTGGCAAATCACGGATTAGTTAACGTTTTAAGGAATGGAAAGGGGACAACAAACCCCTTCAAACCATCAGCTGTGAAAGACCATAAATTTGGTGCAGAGTTTAAAAACTTGAGCCGCCTCCTGTGGTGGAATCAGTACTTCACCAAACTTAACGCAACTGAAGAAAACATGTTCTATTCCGAATGTCTACGACTAGACGTAATAAAAAGCGCAAGAAAAAATCTAAATATGAGTATGGCTAGAAGAGAACTCTTAAAACATTTCAAACAAAACGCGGCATTTCAAATGTGCCTGGGCACTGTCAATGACTTGGAAGAATTGAGTGATGTCTTACTAATGTCAACCAATACGTATGACTTGGATATCTGGACGTTAAACAATGCTGCAGCTTTAGGAGAGCTTTGCAAACTCACCTATGCAAAGGAAGAAACAAAAATGCGTGCAATTAATTTGTGTGCTAGTGTGTCATTAGGATTCTCGCAAAGGCTAGCGATGGGCGAGCAGAGTTACGAACTACGAGAAAAAGGCACTAGGATGCTCTTGACCCTGTCTAAATGGGTACAAAATGACAACGAAAATGTGCTAGAAGCGGATACACCTTTGATGAAATTAATATCGGCGCTTCCTGAAATTGGTTTAGTAGACAACAATATTTCGGAGAATGTTATCCCATTGTCTGATTCTGCCGTTGGCAAGTTATTACAATTCGGCGTGAATCAGTGCCCCGGCCTTGCCAAAGCCTGGGCCAGTTTTGCCGTTTGGTGCTTCCGATGGGGTCGAAAAATGGTCGAGTTCAGTGCAAAAACTCGAGAGCAACTAACTGAAAATGATAAGTTGCAGATCGAAAGTGTTATGATCGGTTGTTCACCTCAAGACTTTGAAGCTGTTTGTGAAATACTGTCAAAAACTAAAGCCACTTGTGACGACGAAGATATTGACTGGAACGAAATCAATACGTCCGAGATGATCGAGAGCCAACTACGCACTGTTCCCTCGCTTAGTAATGCTTTTCCAGAACACTTGGCCCTGTTGGTCGACATCTGGCGCCAAGCACAGAAACGAGTTTTTTCTTATTTTGAGCTGTCTGCTGATGCTTACTTCAAGTTTTTGCAACTTATTTGTGCTTCTGATTATATTAACCATAGTGGTGAAAACGCAGTCGTAAACGCTACTCTACGACTGCTACGACTGATCGTAAAACACGCTATGGAATTGCAAACGGTGCTTGAATCGGGGCTAGCGAACACGCCAACTCAACCTTGGAAAGTCATCATTCCCCAACTATTTTCAAGACTGAATCATCCTGAGACATACGTGCGAAAATGTGTTTCTGATTTATTATGCAGACTCGCTGAAGATACACCTCATCTTATCACATTTCCAGCTGTCGTTGGTGCCGTTGAAAACGAACAAAGTGAACTGGCTGAGCTCAACGTTACAAAACAGTTTCTAACTGATCCTGATAGTAGCGAAGACAACGTCGACTTAGACGATTCAGCGAGCGATAAAGTAGTAAATAACGAGCTGAATTCTTGCTTTTTGGATATGGTAGAGACGTTAGCTAAACAAGCTCCCCAGACAATTCTTCAAGTTAAATTGCTTGTTAAAGAATTACAGAGAATAAATTTACTCTGGGACGAACTATGTCTTGGCACCTTAGTTCAACATCATTCTGACTTTAGTAAAAGATTGTCACAGTTAGAGGTGGAAGTGGCCAAAGTTAAAAACAATCCAAACTTGTCTGCTGAAGAGAAAGAAAGATTGATAAAAGAAAAGCATAGAATAATATTCGAACCAGTGGTGTACGTATTAGAACACTTGTATAACATAATTTCCGCGAAACCAGAAACACCACACGAGACATCTTTTCAAAATAAGTTCCAAGAAATTATAAAAGATGTTATCGAAAAGTTGAAGAACCCTGCAAACCCTGAGAAACCTCAAGAGTCATGGGCTCCTTTGAAACAGTTGCAAATTAAGTTGCAACAGAAAGTTAATAAAAGAACATCATACATTTTGAAAATGTCGGATATCAGTCCTGTGCTAGCTGAGATGAAAAACACAGTTATTACAATGCCTGGTCTACATACCAACCAGAGGACTGTAAGAATTACTATCAAATCTGTGGAGAACAATGTTGCTATACTGCCGACTAAAACAAGACCTAAAAAGCTGATATTTTATGGTTCCGATGGGAAAGCTTACACGTATTTGTTCAAAGGTTTGGAAGATTTGCATTTGGATGAGAGAATAATGCAGTTGCTATCTATAACAAACACGATGTTGGCGCGAGATTCCGAGCACAACGACAATCAGACCTACAGAGCGCGTCACTACTCGGTGATTCCGCTGGGGCCTCGCTCCGGTTTGATCAGCTGGGTCGATAACGTGACTCCTTTATTTGCGCTCTACAAGCGTTGGCAGAATCGTGAGGCTGCTATTTTGTCGGCCAAGACTAACAAAACTGTGAACGTGCTGCGTCCTTCGGAGTTGTTTTACAATAAGTTGAATCCGTTGTTGAAAGAAGCGGGTATATCGACGGAGAATAGGAAAGAGTGGCCGGTGTCGATCCTGAAGCAGGTGTTGCAAGAGTTGTCGGCGGAGACCCCGCGGGATTTGCTGTGGAGAGAGTTGTGGTGCAGCAGCGTGACGCCCGAGCAGTGGTGGCAGATGACACGTCGGTACAGTTACTCCGTGGCCGTGATGAGTGCGATCGGGTACATAATCGGGCTGGGTGACCGTCACCTGGATAACGTGCTGGTGGACTTGACCTCCGGTGAGGTGGTGCATATAGACTATAACGTGTGCTTCGAGAAGGGCAAGACGCTGCGTGTGCCGGAGAAGGTGCCGTTCAGGATGACCCCCAACTTGGTGACGGCGCTCGGAGTTACTGGAGTCGAGGTGAGTGAAATTTTGTTTATGGCTTGGCAGGCGATTCAGCACCGAATGATTACTTAATGTTAGTTGTCGTGCAATTTGAGAATAACATTCAATTAATTTATCATCTCGATTGATTAGTTATCGAGTGGTTCTGAATTGCCTACCTGATTCTGATAGATTGCCAAGTTACTCGTAATTTAATCTTTTTAAGATAATATTTATTTTTACAGTGAGATCAAAATTCAACTGTTTATGTAAAAAGTTACTTTACACGATAGGCTGGATGAAAAGTTACTTTTTTCATATTCTGCAAGAATGTTTTTGTTTATTTACGTTTCCACACTTGTTGTGTTACAATAACACCTGTTGCCACAGTCCTCGTGTTCTGCGTACTCCGCGCCCTCTATAGTGTGCACGTACACAGCCGGTTTTCTGAGAGCCCCTGCTGTTTCAGGCAGATACTACTAATGTAGTTCCTGAAAAATCTCCTAGGTGGCGCCACGATATTTGCGTTTGCAGCATCTTTTTTTATTAATTACTTAGGCAGGATCGTTTTTACAAGCTTTTTTTCTTATATTACACGTGTTTTATGTTATTATCTGATCTATCCTAAACTTAGTATGTAAATACTCGTATTGTTCATACTTTCATGTACCGCCTGAGGGATTTGATCCCATTTATTAATAATACAATACACTATTCTGTGATACCACATAGTAGCTTTTGCCCGCAATTTNCTTCATCAAATCGTGTTTCCATCCGTTAATAGCCCTAGAAAATATCCTCAACTATGCCCAATAAAAATCTTAGCCTTTAATTTTACTGTTTAGTACCTCAAAAATGAAAAATGAAAACCTCATTTTCGCTATTTTCTCTGCTACCCGGCCTTAACTTCAAGATTTGACGATTTATAGGTGCTCTTTTGTTAATCTTTCAAATTCAAAATTTAGTTTTTGATCAATTTTAACCAAACCAAACACAATTTTTAAGCAAACATTTCTTACCTTGACTACACAATACTTAACACTTTGTTAACAATATAATATTAGTGTAACTTTGTTCTTACACTAACTAAGTTAAACACTTCTGAATAGAAATCTGTTTTTTCTGTCAATCTTAGCTTTCGAGCTTTTCTCATTATTTTGATGTGCAATCTTATTTTTATGCTGGTCTTCATTTACAGTGTTACGTTACCTAATATCGAATATAAATGCAAATGAATCCTTTGATGTTGTTCTCGATTAACATAAAATACAATATCATAAATATGATCTTTATTTACGGGCATCATCAAGGATATAATAAAAATAATGGAATTTATTTAGATATTTTATATTACATCGAACATCTCAGTTATAATTATATTTTAATTTCTTTAAACATCTCAATTTATTTGACAGAGGATCTCTTTACATTAAAATCTTTATTATGCTGGAAACTGATTAAAATCTGTCAATAAAAATTCAACAATAAAGCTTTTAAAAACTTGAGCGTAGATCAACAGGTACCTAAATGCGAAGGGGGGTACCTACGAGTCACTAACAACTTTAAATGCTAAAAGCGTTTCACTTCCCACAAACGTCAGGTCGTTTAGAAAAATACACTACACTACTTCTGCGCCGGGGGGGCGGGGGGCCGGGCGGTGGACGGGCGGGGGGTCGGGCGCGTACGACGGGTTGGCGTCGCCGGCGTCGGCGTCCACGTAGCCGGCGTTTTCTATGATGCGACAGCGCGCCGCGTCGGGCTCGCGCTCCGCTATGAGCAGCCGCGCCGGCCGGCCGCCCAGCGCGCCCAGCCCGGTCAATGCGGGTGCGCTTGAGCGCGACACGGAGCCCTCGCGCAGCGCCACGGAGCCGCGCTTGCGCTCCGGCGCCGGCGATCCGCGGTACTCCGACGTGTCCGGCCGCTTGCAGCGCAGCAGCTTGGCGAAGGCGGCGCGGAAGCCGGCGTTCTTCCACGCGTAGATGAGCGGGTTGATGCCCGAGTTGGACATGGCCAGCGACGACGTGAGCCGGTACGCGATGGGGTTGTGCAGCGGCCGGATCGGCAGCGTCTGCGCGCACGCCACCACCACGAACGGCATCCAGCATATGGAGAATGACCCCAGCACTAGCAGGACAACCTGAAATCGGAAAAAGTTAAAGTTAGGACGTGCGTAATGGTTGACTCAATATTTATGTTTGTTTCCTATGCTTCCACTGATACTTTTAGCGTATTTTGCTACGCAACAAGCATCTAACGTTGTCATTAAACATAAAACTTTCGGCCTGAAGGTCTGGTTTTCCCGTCATCATCATTGTGGTTAGAGATCCGTCAGCAACATTTTCGCTTAGCCAGCCAGAAGCAGGCTTCGAAGAGGATCAGAACAGACCTGTATGCTCTTCCAGTCGTTGGCGCCCGAGGGGCAGCACGTGTTGGCGCGCATGCGGCGCGCGTGGCACGTGGCCTCGCGCCAGATGCGCCAGTACAGCACGAACATCACCATCCAGATGAGCGAGAACATCGGCGCCAGGATGCACGTCGTGTATCTCTTCGGCACCACCTGGAATTTAATGACGTTCAAATAATTAAATGATGTAAATCCCGGTCTGCTCGCACACTCACTGCGGGCGCCCGTCGCACAGTCGCGACAGCAATATAATTACGCGCGAGCGATAAGGATGGGTAGCTTGGGGTCATTGGACAAAATTCTACGTGCTCACAGACCAGACTATACATGTAGTTATGCCCTATTTTTGGAAAATATGCATGAAATTGCATACATACATACCCTGTGTCAGGGTAGGTTAAGTAGGGCTCCCCCTCATTGGAAGGATGAGGCATACCCGCTTAAATAACCCCGGTGTATTTTTTTAAACTTTCATGGTCACTAACATAATTATTATTACATGTACACATGGTAGCAATCCCGTCAGTAATAATAATTATAACCCCGGTGATTCGTCAATCGCCTTAGTGGGAAGAACTATGGGAATTTGGACTAAGCCTTCAACCACCACATACCACAGTCCTCCCGAATGTGTTTACTTATTTAAATCTTCCACCGGCTTCAATTCCCAAAGAAGCCAAAACGACATTATATGAACATTGTTTAATCAGCATTAGTTTAGTGAAAAAATTGAAGTCACGCGCGGTGTAATTCGGCTATAAAAATAACTCATGTTTAAAGTTCCCCACTGACTCGTCGAAAGTTTTAAAGCTCAATAATGCTCTTAGGCTAATGTAGTCATGACCTCAAATCTTCTTACAATACCCTAGTGGATTTTATGTGCTGGGTAACATAATATATGTAGGTAAAAGTATTTGTTGGTTGTTATTAACTATGCCAAAGTTAAAGAAAACAAAACAAATATTAAGATTTGAAACCGTATTGACAATATCTAATGAAATTGGAATTCATCGAACTTATTTGGATAAGACTAACATTTGCGTAGGTTGATCAATAATAAATTATTTTCCAATAATCAAAGTCTATCTAGTACTGTCAATAATATTTCAACTTACCATGTTCATCTCGCAAGCGACCCCTTCGTGCCAGTCATTCCAAAACATAGGGATGCAGCTGATGCACACCGCTATCGACCACGTGGCGCTCATGAGCACGCGCGTGACCACCTTCGTCATGTAGCGGCTGTAGTGCAGCGGGTGCACGATCGCGATGTACCTGCAACCGCAGGCCGGTACATAGCGGCGCCGCCAACACTCGAGAGCCGCCAGATTGTTCCAACGACCTCAAGTTATGGCGGCTGCTTTATATTCCGATATAATGTCACGAACTACCATTCCATGCAATCATTTTCATGCTCGTATAGCGTGATCTGAGTTTGTATTTGGAAACTATTTTTGGCTAAATTTTTGATTTTCCACGAATACTGTCTGGATTTCAAGATTCTACCAAAGATTTAAACGCGGGTCGGCGACATGCGACCGCCATGCAACTCACCTATCGACAGCTATTGCGATGATGTTGTAAATAGACGCGAGACACGCGAGTATAATAAGAATGAATCTCATCAGACAAGACCACTTGATCTTGCCGACGCTAGAGTCAAGGTAGAACACGAGATGGTAGGGCAGCGTGAGGCCGACCATCAGGTCGGAGACGGCCAGGTTGAGCACGAACTGGTTGGAGACGAGCGAGGACAGGCGCCGGCTCAGCGTCACGGCCAGGATGGTGAGCGTGTTGCCGCTGACGATGAGCAGCATGAGCGCGCCGTCGATGATGCTCCACGCCCAGTAGTTGTACAGGTCCGCACTCGCCGCCTCCTCCGTCGCGTTCCATCCCTCCTCGCTGCCGTTGCCGAGTACAAAGTCCATACCATCGCTGGCCGCAGGCGCCAGCGTCCCCCACTCCGAATAGTTCGACGTCGTGGTCGAACCTTACGCGCACATCACCTAACTGTTGCCGTCACTTGTCACTCGCGATATGTCCGCACGCACAAATATAGTATGCCACTCGAGTTCGCACATTTTTCTGGATAACTTTACTGTTGAAACGGGAACCTGAAAAAGAGAATTGATATATATTGAGTGTCGGAGATGGGGCGCTTTGTACATGCATGGCGACGTGCACGAGGAGCGGGAAGGCGTATCTCGCGACTCAATATGCAGGGGCGCGTTTCCCCCACAAATTACTTCGCAGCAAGAGCGAGAACTCGCTCGGCGCCTCTAAATCACATTATGAACTTTTTCAAGGGATCCGCGAGTGTTTGGTCCTGCGACCCCGCTACTGTCCATGAATTATTAATGCCCACCAATATGAGAGAAGCTTCAACTCTGCAAGCTAATCGATTGCCTGCCGCTACAAATGAATTATTTTGAGACATCCAAGGTCAGTCGGCAGTTCATAAAGTTACCCCAGTGAGCCAACTAATAATTAATGTCCGACGAAGTTTCTCTAGTGTTGCAGATTATTTATTACCACATAATATCTCCTACATGCTGTACAGACCAGAAAGGTTTCTTGTTAATCTTTTATTTTTACTCTCCATCAGTTTGAAGTACCTTCACTATCGTTTTCTACGAATTTAATACAGTAGGGAACTTATCGTTTGATACGCCAATAACAAGTAGTAACAGAGAGGCAATATTACCCTCTACATATTTCACAAATAGCTTTCCCCAAGGATTACGAGTGAGCGGAGAACTTTAGCCGGGACTGCTGGTAATATCGCGAAGGTTAAGAATTTTTTGTATTTGGGCAGAATAAATCTCGGTCTGACTGGTGTTAATGTATTCGGAGAGCGTATTGTTTGCGATGAAATATTTAGCCCAGATAGAGCTGACAAAGTCAATTATACTCCACTGATCTCGGACCGACTGACGACTCGCATTTGAAATTCAAATGAGTGCAGATCAAAGACTAAACAGGCTTAATTAATTTTAATTTATTAACACCACTTTGCCGTCTGTTTTTAATATTTTACGGTTAAATGAATGAGAAGTCGAATCGGTCTGATGCCAAAATGGGTAATGTACTTCGTTCGGCATATCTAGGTTAATTGATAAAATTATTTTCGGTCTGTTTGTTTCCATTTAAAGTTAATTAGTTGAAACCATTTACAGGTAATGTAGGTCAAATTGAAAATGCGGTAGTTGTAATAACGATTGGAGATGCAAAATATGTACATTAAAATATGAAATTGTCTTAAGAGCCTGGTGGTCGTGGACCTCCTACTGCGTCGGACGTTACCCTGTTTACGAGCATTCGAACTCCTCGGGGCGGCCGTTGCCCAGCGCAAACTGAAACGTTTCGCAGCCGGCAATTGATCGCTCACGACCGGAGCAAAAATGTTTGGCGGAAATTAAATCTGTCGGAAAATCGACTTGTGTCCGACGTACGGTCAGACCTGAATTGTTTCGTCGTTTCCCACAGTGCTGATGAATGGACCGGCGATACGAGTATAATCAGGAGGCACAGCATAAACGCGAATTTGATGGATGAAACGTCAAATATGGATTTACGATTAATCTTTTGTGTAATGACAATGACAGGAAAATAGCACCTGTTACATGATTTTACCATTAGGTAGGTATTTGTTTACGTTGCGTCGTGTTTTCCAGCTGTCTTTGTTGTGGATGAATTCAAATGTAATTTCGAGTAAACGGTATCTTCTTATTGGATTAGTTTCTCGTGTTAAATTATTTATGGGTTATCTGTTGCTCGTTGTTGATATTGCGTCGTTCCTCGAGTGTTCTCGATAAAGGTTTATGTATGGAATGAAAATGTTGTAACAATTTTAGCGAGTAGAAATAGAGAATGGTGAATAAATTTAAAATAAGTATTACATACAAAGTAAAATATGAATGTAGCGTTGCTTCAGAGAGGTATTCTAGTCACAGACGACTGCCCTTAGCACGTAAATAATGTCCAATGACAAGTCATTATCATGCGGCGCTGGTTTAGACAGCATCGATAATCTAATTTGACGTGGCCTGATCGACTCCCACGCAGCCGATATGACCTCTTTAGCGAAGTAGGCTATCTGTATCGAAAACAGTCAGTGGAAACAAGTGTTCGCTAACGAAGCTGATATGGATGAATACAGACGAAATAAGTTGTTTGATGAGTGCATGACATAGTGCATTCTTTTCTATTTTTTTATTGATAAACAAGCATTACTCAGACTCTAAATGTGAAAACATGTTAATGGTTATAAGTTTTCTAAAATGTTAGTCTACATAGTTTCAACACTGTATTGTTTTCCTTGTAAAATAAAAATAAAAATAAATAAAATAAAATAGTAGTTCTATCAGAAATAATATGTGCGGTGTAAACTCAGTTTATCTGTCGTAATTTTATCAGTACATCCAGTAGATGCTATTTAGGGATTTAGACGATTGCTTCTTCGGAGTAAAAGCTGGTTTTCGGTTCGAATGGATCAGCATGTGCTCATGTAAATCCGAACGGTTGAGTTGACTCATCCACTTGATAAATATAGACAAATCAGAAACTCGGTGATAATAATAACATAAACGTGGTGCACGTTATGGAATGCACATTTTGTCTATAATAAATAATAAACAAATCTATAGTTTCAAACATATTTATTTAATTATGTGTCAATTTATGCGATTATTATAAATGGTTAGATTTCAACACATTTATGTGCGTACATACATAATAGTAATTTATTACGTAACTGACGTGACCGACGCGTAGCGTGTTCCACATTTTGCTATATTTATATCTTTACAAAAACAGTATGGCCTATTAAATACTAGACTTCAAGTATTACAATTATTACGAGTTAATTCTAGGCTTTAAATTACGATCACGCAATATTAATACTTTTGATTGCTTCGTTTACAACGATTTATAATGTATTTATAAACCCAACTAATTTCCTGAATGTTTACTACTTTCAGTATTATTTATTATTTAACTTCAACAGCCCCTCTACTGTAGAAACATCTGAAAAGGAATCGAGTTTTCCCTATGCCTTCACGTGCCGAATTCGAAGCGAGCAGTATTTAAATCCGATCGAAAAACCATTCGGAACGTTCAAGTAGAATCGATAAGTGGTATCGGATCGGTTTAGTGAATCGGATGGACCGGGCTTTCAGCGGACAAACGGGTTCAATCAACTGCTCAGCAAATTGCCACGAGCTAGTCCCACTAGAGCATTGGCTCCCAAACTTATTTGAGACGCGCCCCCTTTCGACCATACAAAAAAATCCGCGCCCCCCTCCAGTCAAGATTATTTATTGGTCGTATCGAGCAGTTTGGAACTCTGGAATGCATTCTCTCAGCGGTCGCAGGTTTCTTATACTTAAGTACACAGATGGCCCGCGCCCCCCTTTAAAGGTCTTTGCGCCTTCCCTGGGGGGCGGGCCCCCTACTTTGGGAACCACAGCACTAGAGTTAGTTGGAATAGTTTTAGCGTGCATTTGCTGGGCTCTGGTCTGAGGACTGTCGGCCTTAATCAACTGTTAGCCGTTCGCCACTAAGTTACTAATAGCTTTGAGTTTGCTCTGATGTTAAGAAGCTTGTGTGTGCAGGCGACCTCAGGCTATTGCAATTAGGCCTTAGCCATTAGGAATTAAGGGTTTAATTGACACTAGAGAGGTTCTAGTTCTCTAGTAATTCTGGCTGGTGGTCGTTCGTCGTTAGATTTGCTTTACATCGTTTATTCAATGTCTACTGATGTTTCGTAAACAAATACACTTTAAAATATGTATTTGAAATAACTTGCTCATGTCGTATTGCTTGCTAATTCTAATTAGGTTAACATTTACTAGTGAGTGTACATACTTAAGTAAATGGAAACCTCCCGCGGACAAGCAACTGACCAACTAACTCCGCTGTCCTACCAGTTCTGAAAGTTTGCGGACATTTGCGGGCTAACTAAACCAACAGTAAGAGTAGGCGCACACCGTTGATTTTTCGTCGGCCGATAGTTTAGTTGGGCTGTTGATCAGTATGGGCATGTATGGGAGTGCGCACACTACGCCGATTCGATTTGGCCGATTCTTCATACAATTTAAAATCGGGCACAACTATCGGCCAACTAAAAATCAACGGTGTGCGTCTACTCTTAGGGTCACACGCGCAATTTTTTTCCAATATATTTTTAACGGCATGCAAATTCATAAACCTAAAAGCAATCAAGGTTCGTGTTAAAATGCAAAATCGGATTAATCCCGCGTGGATTGGTGGTATTTTCGTAGATTTGGACAACATTTTAAAAGCATAACGACCAAAGTATCATTCTGGATTCAAGGAAGAAGTTAACGACTCCCTAAGGAAGAAAGCTGAATTAAAATGGAGTAGGTACCGTCTGTAATTCTGTATGTTCAGAAGTGGACTGTGACGTGAGTTAAGTGGTTTATTCATGTTGTATTATGTAATATAGAGTGTATTTGTGTATTATAGTCCCATCATTACAATGTCGTTTTATTTGCTCGATCGATCCGTCGAAGGACTCGACAGAATGCACTGTATTGTATGACACTCAGGGTTCGAAAATATCCGATATTTATTATAAATATCAAAATATCGGATATTTATGATATATATCCGATATATATCAACTTTGATATATATCAATTTTGTATGAAAGCTATAGTATTATTTTATTGTATTATTCATGAATACTATTACATATGTGTTACATAAACATGTTTTTAATGTTTTTAAACTTAAAATCACACAAATAAAGCAAAAACATAAAATATTCTTTTAAATACGGCAAAATCAACTAAAAAAATAAAAATCTTATGTCAAAAAGTACAAATACAGTAACAAATTTTAAAAATTGATATATATCATCAAAACCGGCTTGATATATATCGGATATATATCCGATATATATCTTGATATATATCCCTTGATATATATCCTCGAACCCTGATGACACTATAATTATTATGGTATAGATATCGTATAGTGGTTCTTATTCATAATAGTTCATTTGTAATGAACAACTAATTCCAGTTCCATGTTCTATTTGTACCGTTACACTCCAAAACAATGGAATATTAAAACCAGCAAATCGATAAGA